TCTTTCCCTTGTAAACTGAAAGTAGCATTAGTGAAGATAAGTCCTAAGAACATGAATACGTACAAATAGGTGTTATACACAAGTTTACACTATTAGTCTATCATATTTGTTGTCTACTGTATTCTTAATTCTTAATAAACAATATTCACAACCCCTCAAAATTTGTGTAAAATTCACTAACTTGAAATTTGTGAAACATGAATAATGTATTAGGGGGTTATAAACAATTATTTGATCTTTCATCCAAATGAATAGCAAAAGAAATATATAATAACAAGGAAATAATGTATTCCCTTGAAATGGTTTTCTACTCTCCTCTTGTATTGCTCTTCCTCCATAATCCATAAAAGGACTTAAAAAAACTGTTCACTAAGACAATGAAGACGAACTCATTCTCATCAACCAATAGTACAAAGAGACCACCTCAAAAGCAAATACACTAACATCATAAAATGCTTTCCATCACATCCTTTACCTTCCTGTGGAAATGGTCCCTTTATTTTACACAAACACAAAATATTACAAATACATGAATTATCACAAATATGTGACATCCATCGATCCTATTCCATTCTTTAATTGGCAATTCTAGAATATTTAGCCTTCATATCCATTTGGGTTTTACTGACCCAAATGAGTTTGAAATGATTGAACTGACGAGTCTCTTTAGACCATAATCAGAGTAAGAAGCATGTTTGTTTTTCTTACTCCATGACTCCTCTCCCCCTACAAACTTGTACTTACTACTTACTAGATATTTACTACTTTAAGACTTCAAATGTAGTAGGATAAAAGGGAAGGATTTTCAGACTGATGTTTTGTATCAGATAGTAGTCCAATACCACCTAATGAATGTGGCTTTCCATACAATAGCAGTATATTTCCACAAAGGATGGGCATTTCCTTTCCACTGCCTCTTTCTTTCTTCTTTCCCCATGTGTGAGCCCCACTAGTGGTGTAGGTGGGAGTGGATACAGGATACTTTTGAACCAAAAGTATCAGTCTCAGGCCAACTATTCAAATAAATTTGACCAACTACAGGCTTACGAGATTTCATGTTTAATACACGTTTCCTTAATTTCAATATTAAACTCTCATTTACTTACTTACATACAGCTAGTCAGTTGACAGCCAAATGCCCATGCAGGTGAAAGAAACTATCATTAGCATGGTATCTAATGTGTATCAAGTTTATTTCTTACATCTTATTTCCTCCCAGGCAAAGGCTAACATATGTTACACACAATGGCTTTGCAATAAGTGCATGACACATGCTCAACAATTGTCACCAATACGTAAACAGATGAACCAAGCCAAGTACTTATGAGTTATTTTTGACAAAACAGAAGCTGCAAATGAAGCAAATCAAATCAAAGACTTGTTGCATATCTCTATCCCCCCTATGGACATCCTCTCTCAACAGTAAAAAATGAATAGTAACTCATGGCATTCCAACTTACAAGATCATAAACCCTAAAACAACCCACAAGGACAGAAAGAACAGAAAACGGTTATGGTTGGAATAAATTGCAGCAAACCTACGAAATTGACAACAAAGTACATAAACAAATCAAGCCCCAACATCCTGCCAAAGTAACTCACGAAAGCTTCACACATACACACAACAAAACAAAACAAAACAGCCATGCCATCAGTTTACATCCCCCAAAATCCACCACAACATAACACCATTCTTAATTATCAAACCCCAAACACCAACAGCTAAACAACAAAGCCATAATCAGCAAAACTCATACACACACAGACACAATCAGCAAAACGTTATTGAATTCAAAAGTAAGAAATTTCCATAATCCATAAACCCTAAAGAAACCAAAGACAAAACACAAACCAAACAAAGCACCAACACCCTTCCCAAAAACACCTCACAAAACATTCACACACGCACAACAAACCAAACCCTCCACCAATTCACATCCAAACCCCAATCAACAACAACACAACCAACTTCCAACAATCCAACACAACACAGCCACCAACTACTCCAAATCAACCAATTCCACCCATGTCCAAATTCACGTCAAACGGTCTAGACTAATCACATCAAAATATCACCTAAAGCGGTTTTAAATAAACATCCACATATTCTAGCACGTTTGGTTTCCATCAAGTCAAGCAAAATCTACATCCATATAGAACCTACTCTAGATAGAGGCTGTTTGAATACAAGTTATAAACACTTTTGAGAATTTTTCTACTAAAAATAAAGAGTATTTTCTAGTAGAGAAGCTCCCAAAAGCGCTTCTAAACTTATACTCAAACAAACATCCTCATAGTACGTGTTTGGTCACACTTCAAGACATGGTTTTTCATGTCTCCTTTGATACTACTCAGGCTTGATCAAACATCAAAACATAGATCAATGCTATTGGCTTCTAACACCAAAACCAAACACACATCAAGTTTCACAAAGACAAATTGATTTAGGAGTGAAACTAACAACCTCCCCTACCTTCTACGGATAAAAAATATATATATTTCATTAAATTTCAACACAAACTAACAAACATCCAAACACAAGTGAATAATTTTGGCAACACACAAACTGTGGGCATCCATCCATACCTAAAATGGTAGTGTCCAAGGCCATGCTTAACGCCCCACTTGAACTCCCCCACGTACCTACTCCCATCCTCGCACGTGTGCACCCCACAGCCATGGCTCTGCCCACTGGCCCATTCCCCAGCATAAACATCCCCAGTGTAGAACCTATACACACCAAACCCATGCCTGAGCCCAAGCCGGTACTGCCCGCGGTACCTGCTCCCGCGGGCCCACGTCTCCACGCCAAGCCCATCGTACTTCCCCTCGGCCCACTCCCCCTCGTACCTCCCACTCATGCTGTAGTAGTACACCCCACTCCCGGAGCACTTCCCCCCCTTCACCTCCCCCTCGTACACGTCCCCGTTCGCGTACGCCGCCACCGAGAGCCCCGCGGGCCGGGACGGGCCGGCCCGGAACACGGGCAGGCGGAGCTTGGGCCGCGCGGCGGGCTTGAGCGTGAGGAGGAGGCGCAGCGAGGGCAGGCGGAGGTTAAGCGAGAGCAGGAGCGCGGCGGAGAAGAGGAAGGCCGACGGGAGGTCGAGCAGGAGGGAGCTGGTCGGGTGCGAGACGAGGAAGTAGAGGAAGGGGAGAGCGAGGAGGAGGATGAGGCGGCGGCGGCGGTGGGAGAGGATGCGATTGACGGCGGAGGAGCGCGGCGGCGGCGGCGGAGGCGGTGGCGGTGGGGTTGGGAATTTGTAGAGCGTTGGGGATTTGAGCAGAGGGCGCTTGTAGGTGAGTGATTGGAGAGAGAGGGTTTGGATTTGGTTGGGATTGAAATCGGAAGAGACGCCGGTGCTTTCTTTTCCGATCTGGGCTTCGGATTTCTTTTGATGCATTACATAATCTTCTTGCTTCTCCTCTCACTCTCTCTCTCTCTCTCTTTCCTTCGATTCGGTGTTTTGTTTCTCTCTCTCTGTTTATGAAGGGAAGGCTAATTCCTTTTCCAATGAAATGCAAATTTCAGTTTTCTTTCTCTCTAGCTTAGCGTGTGGGCTCTGTTATACATCACGATTCACGACTTTCGGTTTTTTTTTTTTTATTATTTATTTCTCAGTTAAGTTTCTAAATTAAAAAAACAAATGTAATTAATTTATTTATTTTTGGCTTAAATATGTTTTTTATTGTTTAAATATATTTTAAATTTTTTAAATTTAAAATAAATTTATTTTTGTCCCTCAAGTTTAAAATAATTAATTTTAATTTCTGTAATTTTTAAAAATTTTATTTTAATGTTTTGAATCACCCATGACATATCTCAAAGTGATAAATTAAAATAATTATATAATATTAATTAGATTTAATGTGATGTTTTTACTAACAGAAATATCAATAGATAGATTTTATACAATAATATTTAAGAAATTTCTTAACAAAATTTGAATATAAAGATTAAAATAAGATTTTTTGAAATTACAATGATTAAAAATTAACAATTTTAAAATTTAGGAATAAAAATAAATTTATTTTAAATTTAAGGAACTAAAATTATATTTAAATTTAAATTTTTTTTATATTTTATGTTTAGTTTTTAAGAGTAAAAATTCGTTGTAGTCTATGAAATTTTATTTAATATTTTTGTAGTTAGAAATCATATTATACTAGTACTTTTTTTTTGTAAAGATGAGAAACGTTACAAAGATGGTCGTAATGAGAATTGAACCTAGGTCTTCATGCTTCTAACTATCTCAACCCCTCCCCTCCAAACCACTAGAGTAACCCTAGTGATTTATCATGTAACACCCCAGTTTTTATTTCATTTTTTTATTTTATTTTAATTAATGTTATTTTGGTAATTTTATAAATGTATAGGGGTAATTTAGTAGCTTGGAACGGGCTGTTCCGAAATTGGAACGGGCCGTTCCAAACTACCAAAATGTATGTGAGTTAGTAGCCCAGAACGGGCCGTTCTCAAGTTAGAACGGGCCGTTCCGGACTATTAAAAAATGCCTTTAACTCTAAGTGGGAACGAGCTTGAACGGGCCATTTCCAAAATATGGCCGTTGTGAGTAATAAATGCACACCAGAACGGGCCGTTCTGGTTTGAGAACGAGTCGTTCTGGATGTGATTTTTACCTATGATGTAAGGGTTCAGAACGGGCCGTTCTGGCGAAGGCTGATGCCTATAATTGAGCTCTCTGCCACTCCCAAAAAGGCACACCTTCTCATTTTCTGATTTCTTTTCTTCTTTTCTCTCTTCTCTTCTTCTACACTTTCTGAAGACCGAGGGGAACCAGCAGAGGAGATCAACCAGATCCTTAGTTTCAGCTACTATTTATCCAGGTACGGGGGAAAAGGAAATTATTTATATGTAGAGTTACATGAGAAAATTAGGTAGAGGAAGAGTCCCTTGGGATTATGAGTAATTTTATAATTATTTCTGTTTGGAGAATTATTGGTCTTAGGACTACGAATATATGATTTATTTGTAAAAATGATGCTTTGGGAGAGAGAACAAAATTATAGAAAAGTGCCTGTAAGTTAGGTTTTGGAAAAATTGGATTATTTCTGTTTGAGGAATTGAGGATCCCATTAGATTTTACATGTATTGAGGATTAGAAATATATATTTAACTTGTGGAAATGATGATTTGGGAGAGAGAACGAAATTGTAGAAAAGTGTCTGTGAGTTAGGATTTAGAAAAATTGAAAGTTTTACTATTTGATTTAATATTGTATTAAATTGGTGAATTAATTGAGTTTTATATTATTGTTATATTATTGTTATAATGAGTATTCATGGTGAATTGCTTGATGGGTATGTGAATCATTGCATTGTGTGAACTTATCTGTATGTAATATGGTATTTGAGTTATGAAATGAGATGTGTGAAATGTGAATGAGATGTGATTGTGGATTCTCGTACTGATGACCAGGGGTGAGCATGACTCTAGGCTGCTAAAAAGGGTAGCGTGACCTTGGCACTGTGTTATGTCAGGGGTGAGCACAACCCTAGGCTGCTAAAAAGGGTAGCGTGACCTTGGCACAGGGTTATGTCAAGGGTGAGCACGGCCCTAGGTTGGAAAAGGGTAGCGTGACCTTGACATAGCAAGATTTGTGTGAATTATGAATGTGAAATTGATAATGTTAATTGCAAGATTTGAGATGAATGGGTGTGATTACGAATTATGATGTGAAGATGATGCATGATTGATAGAGTTATGATATTTCATTATGTAATGAGATTACATTGTTGTGTGTTTGTATGTGCTTTACATATAGATATTTTCTTTTCTCACCGTACAATTTGTGGATGTTTTAGTTGAGGAAGATCCGGCTACGAGTGGCATCTAGAATGCCAATAGTTAAATTAGGGGTATGCTCTGATATTGTGACATCGGGGCAGAGGATTTCTAGGACAAAATTTTTATATGGATTTGGAATTGTAATGATTATTATATTTTAAAACAATTTGTAAACTCTTGTGTTCCATTTTTCTAAATATTTATTATTGTGGATATTGAAGAGCATTTACGAAGATTTTATGTGAACCTTTTTTACCAATATTGGAAAATTTATTTATAATGTTGCATTATTACGATATATAAATTAGGGTAGTAAGGGTGTCACATTTAGTGGTATCAGAGCAGGTCGATTCAATCGGTCGTGAGTTATGAGTCTGCTATGCTTGTTTGGTAGATGAATGATGTAGTGAATTGATTGTTGAACTTATTGATATGCTAGTATGACGATTGATTAAGTTTGTTGTTTATTTTTAATTTGAGTATAATTGTTAACTTTTCTGGGGATCAAAAAAGTAATGGCAGGAGGTAGGAACGATCGTGCAATCACTGATGCTATACAAGCGATGGCTCAGGCTCTTGGTAATTTGAACCAACGACCAGAGGTAGATTGGCTGGAGAGATTCTAGCGAAATAATTTGCCAAGCTTCCGTGGAGGTTATAATCCTGATGGAGCTGCTGACTGGATTTTTGAAGTTGAAAAGATATTCCAAGCTATGGGATGTCCTTTGATACAGAAGGTGACTTTGGCTGCCTTCATGCTTTCTGGAGAGGCTGGCATCTGGTGGCAAGGTGCTTTGCAAAGAATGATAGCTGCAGGTACCCAAGTGAACTGAGAGAATTTCAAGCAGCTATTCTTGGAGAAATACTTTCCCCGAGATGTGAGACATAAGAAATAGGTGAAATTCCTTGAGTTGAACCAAGGAGAAAATTCTGTGGCTGAGTATATTACTAAGTTTGAAGACTTGGTTAGATTTTGTCCCATGTATGATGGTGTGGGCAATGAGGAGGACAAATGTGTGAAGTTTATGAGTGGTCTTCGCCCTAAGATTAAACAAGTTTTCAATTATCAAGGGATCACTCACTATCATGAATTGGTAAACAAGTGTCGAGTATATGATGAGGACAACCGTGCTAGGGTAACTCATTATAAGAGTGGAGGACCCATGAGGAATAATAAGTTTGGTTCATCTAGTAAGAGTAAACCTTACACCAAGTCTACTGGGGATTCAAGTTCTAAGGTGAATAATCAAGGTTCTGTGCAACAAAGGAGCCAATCTCCAATGGCTAGCCAAACATCTAGAGGGGGGAGTGTGGGTTCTGTTCCACGTAATAACTGCTTCAACTGTGGGAAGCTAGGTCATAAGGCATATGAGTGTTGGGTGCCAAGAGTAATAACATGTTACAACTGTCAAGAGAAGGGACACAAAGCTCAGGAGTGCCCCAAGAACAAGAAAGGAACAATAGAGGTTGGAGGGAGCGCTAACATAATCATGCATGTGTTAGAAAAAGTACATTACTTTTTCAGACAAGGACAAAACTTCACAGCTATGAGACCAGAAAAGGATAAAAAGGTTCCTAGGTATCTGCTAAACTTAGACACTGCTGCTACCAAGACAAAGAACACTTCACGCAAGGTCTATCACAAGAAGCAACATTTAATGCAAGAATCTAAAACATTAAATGGCAAGATCAAATAGGTCAAGAACGACTATGTTTGCTTCAACAGACTTGCAACAAGCATATTTCACAAGACTATATATAAGTCTCAACATCAAACCTTAAGAGGTTGGCTGTTTCACCCAAAATGGTGCAAGCATGAAGAAGAGTGATATTCAGCCCATGAAGTAACGAAATCAGAGACAGAGCATGTAGAGTCAAATGTACTTTAGTGTAATTCTCTCTGTAAGCTAAGGAATCCTAAATGTGTATATCTTAGAACTAAAACCTTAGTGAGTGTAGATCATATACGTATCCTCTCTATGAGAGTAACCAAAACACTCAAACCTGACTATACATCTACCAATTGTAAAGCCTGAAGAGGCTAGGTAAAGAATATTTGTTCAGCCCGGAGGGGCTAGTAAAATAATGCTCACTGCTAGCTAGAAGTGGCTGATAAGAGAATACTAGCGTTGGTGAGTGAAGCCAACGGGCCAGAAGTGGTCCCGAATACTTGGAGAACCAGAAGTGATTTAAGAATACTAGCACTGATGAGTGAAGCTGGCGGGCCAGGAGTGGTCGAGAATACTTGGACCAGGAGTGGTTCTAACCTGAGTGGTTCATAATACTCACTACTAGCTTGAAAAGGCTGAGAAGGAGATACTAGCGTTGGTAAGTGAAGCCAACGGGCCAGGAGTGGTCAAGAATACTTAAGTCCAGGAGTGGACGACAATACTCAATGTTCTTCATTTTGATATCTAGTGGAACCCTTCAATTGAAGGAGATTGGACGTACCTTAGTTAAGCAATCCAGTATAAAATGATTGCATTGCTTTTCCTGTCTAACTAGAAACAAATATTCTTTACTGATTAAATCTTTGTGAAAGACTTCGTCCAATATTTACATATCGTTAAAACCATTTTTCAGACAAAGACGCAATTTCGTTTAACAAATATATTACACTAAAAAGCTTTATCTACTGCTTATGTTTAAAACAAACTATCTTGAAAAGGAAAATGTATGAACTTCAATAATTATTATTATAAACCTTTTTCCTCAGCAGACGATAAACCTTTCAGACG